AGTTGGCCTTCGTCTGGGGGGGTGGGGTTCGGTGTGGTGGGTGATTGGACCTCGGTCACAGCCGTGTTAGGAGTGAGGCCTGTGTCGTCAATTCGTGCTCCCCACTTCGGTTGCTTGTTAGATGTGCTGGTGGGCTTGCCTGTCTGCATCAGGCTTTGTTCATCTCGAGGGTGGTGGTGGTCATCGCTGCCGGGGGTATCGCGGTCCTCATCTGTGGTTGTGGGGATGTCGTTGTCGGTGGTGGTGGCAGTGGTAGTGGTGGTAGTGTTGTACTCGGGCAACGCGGCGGTTGTGGTTGTGGCAGTCGTGGTTTTTGTTTCGCGTTCGCGCGCCCCCCGTCGTAGGGTTCGGCCGTCTTGTAACAGCTGGGCGAGTGGCGTGGCTGCAGGAGGGGGCTGCTGCTGGGCCGCTGGGGGCTTGCGCTCTCGCTGGGATCTTCGCAGCTCTCTGCCATCGTCCAGCGGCTTCTGCTGCGATGACGTAGCTGTATTGGGAGCTGCTGTCGCCGGGGAGTCGGGCTTTGGTCTGGCTGATGGGTAGTAGCTGCGGGGGGGCTCGTGAGACGAACTGGCACTGGCCGAGGACATAGTCGCCCCTGCCGGTGTTTGTGGTGGGTTGGTGTGGTTTTGCTGCGTGGGATGTGAGGCGGTTGTGTTGCTGGGCTGGTTGTGGTGGTGCGTCCTCTCGTCTCGCTCCTCGGCGATGGTGGTCAGCTGGGGTGCGAGGGCGGCGGGCGGGTTCTGGCTGTGGGTGCTGGGCCTGGGCCCGGAGCTGGTCGCTGCCGTGGAACTCGAAGCTGCTGTTGCTGCTTGCTGCTGTGCTGCTTGTTGTTCTTGGTGTTCTTTGGCATCCTCACGCCGCTGCCGCATTCTGGTGATTGTGGGGTGGCAGTCCTTGGTCTGGCTCTCGATGCGAAGTCGCCAGATCAGAGTGGCCGGATCTCGTTCGAAGAGAAGTTTGTCCCCCACTGTCAGAAGCATGGAGGCGGCCTCGTAGTTGGAGAGCGCGGGGACTGCCACCACCGTCAGGACCCAGTGGTGAGGGGTCATGGGTGCGAAGGTGGCCTCGAGTCCTATTGGGAAGGGGGGGGAAGACAGGGTGTCCCCCTCGTCTCCCTCGATGACTGTGGGGATGCCAGCGATTCTGCGAATGCTGACCCCTTGGTCGGGGCGGACCTCTAGCCTCCAGCAGCCATGTGTTAGCTGGGTCAGGTCTGCGTGGGAGTTGGAGGAGAGTGGTACACTTGGCGGGATGTCGTCACCGTCTTCCCAGGTGTGTATCACATGGGACCAGAACGTCCCCTCCTGGTTTGCTGCCCACTCCTCTTGGATAGCTCGCTCTTCGGCCGTGAAGGTGGTCCCATCGCAGTGGGTATCCTCGTCGTTGTCTTCGTCGACGGCTGTGGGGTGCGTCGGCGTCTCCGCTGCTTCGGCTGCTGCTGCGTGTTGGTCTTGTCCCCCCTGTTGGTGTGTCACGTGTGTCGTGCTGCTGGTGGCGGGGGGTGATGCTTGGGGGTCAGGTGTTGCGGGTTTGTGGCTGCTGGGGGCCCCGTCTCGCGGCAGGAGGTGTTTGTTGAGTAGTCCTGCAAAGCGTTCCCGAGCTGCTGTGTACTCCTTGGTCCCCCGCTCGGGCAGTGGATTGTGTGTGTTGCTGCTGCTGCTACCGCTGCTTGCGGGGGTACCGGCTGTTGTGTCTGGTGTGGGGGGGGCTTGCGGTTTGTACAGCAAACCCCAGCCCGGTCCCCCTTGCCTCTGAGGGGGGGGCGCATCTGCCAATTGCCGCGCTTGTTATGTTGTTTGTACGTATACTTGCCAGCTTTGTTTTTGACACGTTGTGAGCCATGTCCTGCCGTTGCTTCGCTTCGGCGGTTGGAGCTGCTGGGCTGGGCTCGAGTGTGTCCCCAGCTGGCTCTCTCACGCTGCTGTTGTTGCGGGGTATCCCCGGGGGTTGTTGGCTGCTGCTGGTCTTGGTGTGGTGGGTCAGCTGCTGGTGTGTGTGGGCCGGTTTGGGGGGGAGTGTCGCTGGGCTGATGGTCAGCTGTGGCGTTGTGCTGTGAGGGGGCCTCCCCCAATCCTGTGGTTGCTGCGTTGGGGGGTATGTCAGTCGCTCCTGTCGTCTCAGCTTCTGTCGTGTCGGGTGGCGTGGCGTCCGGGGGAGTGGTGTGTGACGGCTGCGGGGGGGCTTGTTGTTGGGCTTGCTGCATGGCTGTGTGTCCTTGGAGAGGAGCTCAGCCGCAACCTCCTGTGCGATGGCCCATGGTGGCGGGTCTGCCCAGCTTGGGTCCCACGGTGCGGAGGGGTGGAGCGTGTGGGGGTGGGTCGGCTTTGCAGCGGAGGTAGGTAGCTTGCCTGGGAAACCCGGTTCTGGGAGTGCTTCGTCGTCTTCATGCCAGGGGTCCGTAGCTGAGTCATAGGGGGCTGGGAAGCGGACCGTGTGGGGGCTTTTGTGATAGCCCGGGTTGTGGAGCGGCTGCTGTGGTGGAAGGTTGGAGGGAGGGGGTTGGCACGGCTGGCAGGGTTGGCACTGCTGCACGGGGTAGTGGGGGGCCGTCGGCGGTCTTCCCGCGGTTGCCGTGGTGGTTTGCTGCGGTGGGAGTGGTTGTGGAAGCGGGCGCTGTTGCATTGGCTGCTGCTGGGGCGGGGGGCCTGCCTGGAGTGTGTTCTGGGCAGGGGGGAAGTAGACTTGTGGGAGTCTGTGAGGGTTCCCCTGCGTCAGGGCGTTGGGGGTAAGGGCGAACCCTCCCCAGGAAGTCACGTAGGCTCCATTGGTGGAAGGATGGGTCGCTTGCCATTGGAACTGGGTCGGCGCAGAAGGAATGAGGCCATGTGGGGAAGGCTGCTGCATGACCCATGGTGGGAGCCACGGTGTCTGGTGCTGGGGTGGGGGAGCTCCCCCCGCCGGTGTCCCCAGGTTTGCGTAGGCCGTGGTGGGTGGCAGGTGCTGTTGTGAGGGCGGATTCTGCTGTGGCTGCTGTGTCTGCTGTGAGGCTTCAGGAGTCTGCGGGTTGCCGGGGGGGCCGGGTTGGTTCATGCCCACCGTGCTAGTGAGCACCGCTAGGGTCCAGAGTGTGGCTGTGTGCTGCTGCATGCTGGGGCTCTCCGGCTGCTGAGTTCGCGAATGACTGCTGGTTTTCCGAACACTCAGAAAAACGATCTTTCTACAAAAGGTGGCAGTACAGGTGCAGGTAGTGCAGGTAGGGCAGGCATGGTGAGGCAGTACATGATCGTATTGTCGGGCACGAGGTGAAGAGCCAGAAGCACGCGGCAAGACCACTCTGTAGACAACAACGTGCTGCTGTCGAAATGCGTCTGCAGAACGAAGCTCATCTTTGAATATGGTCATGGGCATATGCATTCTGGGATGATCGGCAGGGCAGGGTCTAGGTCTACAAGAACTTGTAGTGCATGTGGATGTCACTCAACATGTTCAGCATCTTTGCAAGGATACTACTCGGCAGATGAGGGAGGCTCCGAGAAAAAACTGCAGGCTGTTTTGAGGGCCGCGCAAAAAGGCTGTCTTGCCAAGCTCTTGTGGAGGTCTGCAACCCAAAACCGAAGGGGCATCAAGGTCGTCTCTCCATTGTGGTGAGAGTCCCCCTGTCGCACAAAGGTCGTCGTCCGCGGGGTAGCTGCCGTCCCCCGCTTCATTCATGTCATTTTGTGCGAATCTTCCTGCTCCTCTGTCGCTTTTTGGGAGCTGGGCGGCCATCGGTGGGCTTGTTGGGGACGAGATTGGCGATCGCTTCCTGTCCCCCGCTTGCCCACGGCACGTCGTGCATCTCCACAAACTTTGTCTCGAGGGCGGCCCATGCCATCCTGTCGGCTGTAATAGACTGCCACTGTTCGCCGGCTGCCGCGGCGATTTGTCTCTCAACGTCGAGGTGGGGGTTGAAGCGTCCGGCATGTCTCTGTCCCCCCCACGAAGGGGGGATGCTCTGCTCGAGTCGCCACCATTGCAAATCTCGCCATTTTAGCATGGCTCGTGCTACCTGGTCCCCCCTGTAGGCATGACCATGTAGGCCCCACACTTGCGAGAGAATAAAAGTGGACCATCTGTCGATCTCCAACTGATGGAGGAGGACCCGGGCTTTGCGCAGCGTGCGGATGTTCCACTCGACCCACTGTTCCCCGGGGGTGCGGGGTGCTTTGAGCATGTTTCGTGCCTGGCCCAGTTGTGTCGAGTTTGCACATCGCAGGATGAAGTCACTGCATCCCCAGGTTTCGCAGGCCCAGAGTGCCGACTGTCTGACCAGAACTGTGTGTAGTTGTAGTCTGCCCTTGAGGGGGGCATTGGACATGAGGGTCCCCCTGTGTTTGGCAAAGGACTTCCTGGCTCGGGCCTGCATCTCGGCCACGATCATGGACGGCTGCCCTCTGAAACTGACGGGACTCCCCAGCACTCGAACGACATGGTCAGGGCCCTTGGAGTAGACTGTCTTGCCGGCCACTTCGAAGGGAGTCCCCCCTGCCTGGTTGTCGACGATCTCTGTCTTCACTGGGTGAATATCCAGGCCTTTCTTGGGCAGGTTGCACCCCATCCTGTCCAACATTGCCTGTAGGTGTCGAGCAGAGGTGGACCACAGGTAACTGTCGTCCATGAAGCAACCTCCATCTTCGGGTGGAGGCTCCCCCGTCGTGGGTTTGCTAGATTTTGCTTCATCGATGGATCGTTCCAGGTCGAGAGCGACGATCCTGCCAAAAGCGATGGGGCTATCAGGAGAGCCCTGCCGGACTCCATTTGATTGCGGGAGACGAAAATGTTCCCCGCGGAAGACCACCTCTATCTCTTTGGCATGGAGTAAGGCCGTCCAAGCGCGTCCCTCCCACGGGAGTTGTCCCCGAATGCTGACGTCTTCCTCAATCTGTTCTGCAAGAGCTTCCTGGTATATAGAGTCGAACGCCTTGCGGATATCAAGCGTTGCCAGATACATGGGAAGTCCCCAGTCGTGTGCTACTCTGCAAAGACGGCGAATCACCAAGATGAGCTCCACACCCTGGCGCGAGCACACAGTGGGAGGCGCGGCCAATGATCAGCTGCGAGAAAGACCGGAGCAGGGTCGAGCTGAGGGTGATAGGTCTTGTATCGCTCCAGTCCCCCGGCGAGGGAATTTTCGCGAGCAGGACCGTGACCCCATTCTCTATGTTGGCAGGGATTTTGGCAGTGTACAACATGTCATTGAAAACATGAAGGAGTTGTCCCCGCCAATAATCGTCCTGCTCGAGAACTTTCAGGGCCTCATGAGAAATGCTATCGGGCCCACATGCCTTGCCGTTCTTCCATCGTTTTCGCACTGCTTTGAGCTCCTCTTCCGTGAAAGGTTGCCATCGGGCGAATTTGCATCGACCTGTCATGCGATGAAGGATCACTGCGAAGCGTAGGTCCACCATAGCGCTGTCTGACTTGTCGAAGATCCCCCCAAAGTGCTTGACCAGGGTTTCGCGCCACCTGTCGTCACTCCGAAGGCGAAGCTCCCAAGCGTTGTTGTGCTTCTCATTGTCTACTGCTTGCTTTTCCCGCCAGTGGGCCTTCCCCGCCTGTGTGAGTTTTTGGGCCTGCCACGTCCGGTGTTCTTCGCGTCGCTGTTTGGCCAGCATCTTCCACATCTGCTTCCGCTCGTCCCCCGGGGCCATCTGGAGGATGCGGTGTCGTAGGCGCTTTGTGTGCTTGCTCTCGCGGAAGATGTCAATCTGCTTCCCGGGCACGGTGATTTGCCGAGCGATGTTGGCGATGAGCTGCACAGGGTCGGTGGCTGTGATCTCGTAGGTTGCCAGCATCTCGGCTACTTTGGTGGGGGCCTTCAGCCTCCGCGTCCCCCACGTTTTCGGTGGGCTGGGTTTCGCTTTGGGGATCTCGGTCAGGACTGGGACCACGATGGCTTCATGGTCGCTCCTGGCAAGGTCACGGTACGGTAGAACTTCGCCTGTGTCAGCAAGAAGTCGGCGAGTGCAAATATAGTCGAGACGTCGTTCCTGCATGTTCTGGTTGTATGGGAAATAGGAGGCCTGATCGATCTCCTGGAAGGGGAACTTCATGTGGAGCTTGTCGAGGAATTCCAGCATGAGTTCGCCTCGACCCGAGTCCGAAATGATGGAGTTCCCCCATCGCAGAGTGAAGGTCTCATTGGCATCCATCCCCAAAAAACCCTTGGGTTCTCCACGGAGCTGTTGTTCCCAAGTGTTTAGAATCTCGGCAGCTTCAGGGATGGTCGCATGATGTGGCATGTGTCCTGTCAGGGCTACCATGCGTAACTTCCCGCACTGGAGGGTGCAGCACATCCCAGACATGAGCAGCTTCGTTCTGCTATGCTCGCAGTGCGTTGTATGCACGATGGCGGTCCCCCGCCATTCTCCACTGCGCTTGCCGGCAATCATTTGCAAGTTGCCCTTCTCAAAGTTCAGTTTGCCCTCATCGACAATCACCTCTTGGAGGAGCACGACGAAGGGGTCAGAAAAGGGGTGAATTCGTTCTTTACGAAGGTCTTCAAGAAGCTGGAGGGCTTTGTCGGGTGAAAGGCCTCCAACGTTCCAAGTCAAAATCTGCAGTGTCCCACAAGGGGTGTCCAAACTCGTGGGGTGAAAAACTTCAGCTTCTGTGGTTCACGAGAGCGCCTTCTTGAGCTCGTCCCATTTGGTGGTCAACGAGCTCAGCGACGTGCCCATTTGGCGGGCGAGGGTGGGGAGCGAAACCCATCCCACTCCAGCTTTGTCCGCTTCCTCCGGCGCTGTAAGAACAGCCGAAGCCACCCGGACCCGGCCATACCAAACATTGCCGGTCCCGAACTCGACCTCCAACTGGCTCCTGTCCCCAGATTCCTCGAGCACGAGGCGCTTGATCTTCCCCGCGAATTGAGCGCGCTTGCGCCGTTCCGGGCTTTCGCTCATGGCCGCCCAGAGATAGCGTTCCCCGCCTTGAGGCTTTTCCCCAGTGATGATCTTTGCTTCGCGGATTTTTTGGAGGGCTTCTCTGATACGGCGGCGGTAATCTGGAACATCTTCTTGGGGTCGAGGAGCGATAGGCACAATAGCGAAACCGCGACGAATGCCTGGGACGAAGGCATCCTGAAGATCCAGGTTGCATTGCAAATCTTCCAAGTGTTGTTTCACGAGACGCAATGTTTCGTCCCCGCCTTGGTCGTTATCCCAACCACCCACCACAATGGCGGGTCGCGGGTTGGAATCTGTGCTTCCGTCTGTGCGAGTGGTGCTCGTAGTGGAGAAAGTTGCTGTTGCAAACTTGCCCTCGAGGAGTTCAAGGCGCCGGGAGAGCTCAGCATGTCCCGAGGCCACCCGGTTAACAGTCTGCTCGATGTGAACATGGCGGTCGGTCATGGCGTCGAGAAGTTCGGTGGTGCGCTTCACGTGTTCCCCCATGTTGGCTTCCACCTGGGCAACGCGGTGACCAATCCCCGCAATCGATTCCTGAATGCTGTCAGTGATCTGCTGTTGGTTCACCTGCAAAGCTTGTTGGAGAAGGGCGAGGGTGAGGGGGGCTCCTGCGCGTTCAGTGGTCCCCTCGTCCTCCTGGATTTCGCGGGCTCGCTTAGGGCTTGTCTGTGGCGGAGCCCCGGTCCCTCCTGTAACAGGGGCCACTTCCCCCGATCCAGCAGAGTTCGAAGATATCATCTTTCTCGAGCTGCAAATAGGATCACGTTGCACAACCTGCTCGTTCTGTACGACCCCTTCAGCTCCCGGCGACTCGCAACCAGGACAAAAGCAGCGACGAGGAGGGCTGGCAAAGTCCCCGACTATCAGGGCAGACTTCACGTTCAGGTTTGTCCTCACCGATGTCCTTGCGCGCGGCGCGGAAGAGGAAGACACGTAGCAGTGCAAGGCCCCCCTGCACGACCGATGGCTCACCTCTAGCAGCCTGCTCTCTCCTCCTCAACTAAGTTTTCTGTTGCTCCCCCTTGGTTTAGATACCTCTCAGCTACGGGCCGGGGGCTCGAACCACTCGTGGCTTGAGCCAAAATGGCTTCTCTCTCTCTCTCTCTCTCTCTCTCTCTCTCTCTCTCTACCAGCCATGGAGGTCAGGGCAGCGTCCAGGCCCCTACCCCCGCACGCGAACGCGCAGCTGCGGTTCTTTGCCGGAAAGAAGTTCCTCTGGGGGGGTTGCCCCCCCAGGGCTCGGCTATACAGTGGCCGTTCGAGCAGGTGCACCCACACTTACAAGCAACAAAAACCAAGAAACAAACATGACCTCTGACAAAGCTTCACTCTGAGGGCCGGGCCGCTTTGGAGACTTCTGTGGTAACACCCAAAAGCACACGAACTAAGAACAAACGAAAGTGGTGTCCCCCGTAAGCTTCCCGGCCTACTTGGGTGTGCCACGGCCTGCTGTAGCTACTGCTCAGGTTCCCCCCACTGCAGGACAACACAGTAACATTGCACTTCCATGTGGTGAGGTACTCAAGAAGGGGGGCCAGGGCAAAAACATGCACATTACACGGACTGTCACAAGTGGAGTGGAATTAATTGAAGCCATGGCTTGTCCCCCCGAATTCAGACTAGAACGGGAACGAATCGTACAGGTGTGTTGAAAAGAAGCCAAGATTTCAGGGCCTTGTTGGGGCCAAGGATTGAGGTTTGCCCGAGAAAGCAGTCACAGGCTTATTTAAAGAGTTCACACCTACAGGTACGCTGCAGCCACGGATTTGTCCGATCAGCAACAGTCCCCCCTCCTCAGTAGCGGGAGTAAGAACTTCCATGCAGGTCGGTATGCGCGGGCGGCGATTTTTGCCCCCACCAATTGCAGGAAAAGGAGGAAAATCCCCCATCATTGCGTCGCTCTCCCCTGTCTTCGAGCTTGCTCCATATGGGCCTGTACTGCCCTCACGTTTTGCCACATACGGTTGGGGACGAGATGTATTCCCCGGCCTTCTTCACTGGAAGCTTCACCTTGTTGTTGGGGCACTCCGGCGGGCTCACTGGGACGTTCTGCAAGGATCCCCTTGCTTTGCCCACTGTCAGATGGGCGCCCCTTCTCTCCCCACGGCCAGGTAGTCAGCGGCTCCCTCTTCGTCAGTCTCTCCTCCCCAATCTGGTGGAGTGTCACTGTCCGCTGGCTGCTCCTTTGTCTCACGGGTTTTGTCATCCCCCGGGGTCTCCATTCTCACATGCTGTGTTGTGGTACTCCCCCGCGTGGTTGGTGTTGGTAGTCCGTCGTCTGCATCTTCAGCTCGGCGTGGGTTCTCTTCCCCCCCATGCATGGCTTGTTCCAGCTCTGTTGTCGCGCTGGATCCCCTCTGTCGTCGAAGAGCATCACGGATTTTCCTGGCCTTTGGCAGTAACTTCTGGACTTCCCCCGGAAAACGTGCAATGTAAGCACGAGTCTCATCAGCTTGTAGTGGAAGGTACTTGTCCACTATGTGGAAGAGCTTGTCAGCTAAACGTGCTTCCTCATTTCTCGCAATGTGTCGTTGGCAAAAGGCTGTATACTGCTTGATCTCCCGTCTGGTGAGGGCTCCCCCGGGCGTGAACGAGGGCTCCCCCGGGCTGTTGCACAACTCCTTTGCCAATCCACGCATCGAGCGGGTCTGGCTCGTAAAGTAAAACCACCCCCTTGCGCGTCCGGAAACCTGACAGTTCTTCCAGAGGCCTTGTTCAGGTAGTCCCCCGAGTTGTTTGGCGTGTTGCCTGTGTAGCTGAAGCCTTCCCCCGAGCTGCTGGGCGCGGCGCTGGTGCCTTCACTGTCTGGTCTCCCCTCTCGGAGGGCTCCTGGTACTGTCACGAGGTGGAGTGGTAGCCTTCGCAGTGACTCCATGCAGCCTACAGGCCGGGTCCGTGCGGTCATGAATCTTCCGCATCCCGACGGTGCAGGTCCCCTCTGCATATCTGCAGAACCTACATGTCCCCGCCATGGCACACTTCACTATCTCGCGGTCGTTGCCCAAGTCACGATCTCTGAGGCCCCGCCCAAGCGAAAAGATAGGGCAGGATCGGCGTTGCCTCGGACAAAAGGGCCTTCAAGGTGAAGAACAGTGTCCCCTCCTCTGCCGGTGCTGCAAAGGAGTAGAACTTGCTTTTGCCAGGTCGCGGTCAGGGCTGTAGATGTCACGGCCTTTACCTTCTCGATTATGGCACAGTCCTAAAGACCTCCCCCCAGACGGGCCACTGGAGCGGAATGGCGACGGTCGAATGACTCAAGCCTTCCCCCGCCTGAAGGCTCGTCCACCCAGTGGGGAAGCTGGGAACAGCCAGCTACCCCAAAGGGCCGGCCTCAGGCGCCCCCCAAGAGGAGCGGCGGTCGACTGGAGCCAAAATGGCTACTGTTCTCTCTCTCTCTCTCTCTCTCTCTTCCTGGACAAAAGAGGCAAGCGTGCGCTTGCCTAACCCCCCCCCCCCCGCGCGTGCGGACGCGGCCCACCTGCGGTCCGTGCAGAAAAGGAGGCTGGCCACACATCCCATCCCCCACAAGCAAGCAGTGCTGGCCAGCCAAACGAGCAGGAGGAAACACTTGCACTCTGCTTTTTCGAGCAGGAAAACACCGAGACTCTCCTGGATAGAACCGGCGAGTTAGAGCCTCCTGCCCCTTGAGATGCGGGGCTGGTCGGCCCGAGCGGAACGAGATTTTCCCCAGAAGAGCCAGTTGTGTCGCCCATTTCTTGAACCTCCCTCACTCTCTCTTCTTCCCCAGACCATGGGGGGCGGGTCAAACCCCCGGCCTATTGGCCCCCCACATTTCATGGGGCTTTCGGGAGGTGTCGGGCTCACAGGCAACATAGTTAACAGTAAAGATAAGAGTGTAGATCTCTTCTTCTGCACAGCCAAAGGAGAGCGCTCAGACACCCCCCCCCCCCTGCGCGCGAACGCGCCCTGGTCCTTCGTCTTGAGTCGGCTCGCATAGATCTCTCTCTCTCAATCTCCCTATCCTCGAGCCAGAGGCCAGAGTCTCTCTCGATCTTGCTTGGGTCTCGCACGTAAGGCAGGTGGGCAATGGCAGCAAGGAACTTGCCAACCTGGTGAGAGTCTCAGTCTAAGTGCCCTTGAAGATAAGACTCATGCCAGCGGGACTGGGAGCCTCAGAGTTCGAGGCCAGCAGCCTGTCGAGATCATCTTGCAGTCGTGCAGAGTCTTGCAGGGGGGACAGCTGGAAGGGACCCACCTGTCGAAGCGCGGCCAGGGCACTGTCGCCAGCACCGTCAGCTCCCAGGATGCCACCGTCAGCCGCTCCCAGGACCTCGGACGCATCGGACGCCGACTCAGCGCCAGCAGACGCCAGCAGACGCCTTGCCCCTGTTCCGTCCCAATGATGGATGAGACGCGCAGCAAAGACCTCGGCCGCAGCCTCCGGATCGGCATGCACGTTGAACTCCGTAACCTCGGAGTTGCGGGCCGGAAAGATCTCAGCTCTGAGCTTCTCCAGATAAGGCACATGCACGGCCATGGTTGCCTCGTCCATTGCCGCAGCAACCCATGACCTCCGAAGTCCAACAAGAAAAAAGCAAGCATCCAAGCCACCAGCCGCCTCGCTATGCATGCTGTGCATGCTGTGTCCGAGATGCGAAGACTTCAGTGAGCATTTCCGGAAGCTTCGGGTTCTCTCGAAGAGCCAGAGCCAGATTCGTCAAGGGACCTCGGTCGCTGCAAGCCCCTTCGATGTCCCCCCTCGTCTGGGGCCTAGGGGCCCTGCCCAGGGTGACCAAGATCAGATCTGCGCCCTCGTGCCGCGCCCGCTGAGCCAAGGCCAGCAGCTCGGCAACGGCCCCTGGAGCCCCGGTTCCTGGCAGCAGCTCCGCCGGAGGCTCCGGCGTCTGCGCATCGCCTGAGCTGGCAAGACAGCAGGAGAGCGGACATGTCATCTCACCGGCCCGGCCTAAGCCGTCATGGCCATGGAAGTGGCTGGCATCGATGGCCTTCAGTCTTTGCTCTCAAGTCAAGGAGCTTCAATTGGAGCTGCACAAAAAGCCCTCAGGGGTCGCGCGGTGCCAGCAAGGCAATGCGCAGCACCGTTGGCAACCAGCGGCCGCTGTGCAGGCTTCACGGCCGCGAGACATTTTGCCACGTTGACCGTCACCTTTGCCGAGGCTGCAGTAGTTTTGCATGGCACAGGCATGGCACCATGAAACTTCTCACAGATGTCCCCGAGCCTGCTCCAGGGAGCAATTTCCAAAGCAGGTCGTAATGAGCTTAAGCCTCGCAGGCGGAACATGTCACTGGCATACGGCATACTTGTCTCCTCTCTAGAACTCGCTTAACACTTCCAAGCAGCTCAAAATTTGACCTCTCCGCCAGCTGCAGAGCCATGCAGATCGCAATTGCGTCATCAACACCTTCGGCAAGGATCTTGCGACAAAGAAGAAAACGTCCTTGGGGAAGACTTGAATGCTTACGCCTGCGTCCGTGTCGATGGCGAGCCAGCGACTGCACGAGCTCTGCGCGTGCACCGCCAGGGCCATCCCGCATAGACACAGCACATTCACATGCTTTGTCTCTGGTCTTGCATGGCAGCTGGCGGGATTCATTGGGTCATGCTGGGTTCTAGTTGTGAAGATCATGGCGCAAAGCCGAAAAGCACGGCGGCAAGGCAACCAAGATTCCGCAAATCCATCGAACAGTAAAGCGAATGACATCAAGGCTGCTGCAGGCTGGCTGCCTGGACCGCTGCTCCGGCAGCTCGTCCGACAGATGAGCTATGACCTGATTTCGACACTGTACGCAAGCTTCCCTAATCCACATGACGGAACTTGGCCTGATTCATGATTTCTGCCAGCCGAATGATCGACCGGCCTACTCATTCATGGTTGTCTGCTGGGCTGTTAAGCTGTTAGGCATAACACTAGCCGATTCGCCCGCGCTTTCGAGTGATCCATGACTTTGCCTTTCTGTCTGCCTTCGATCTCTGTCGAGCGGGCCCGAAAGCTTCCTTCGTCGGAGGTTCAGAGACGCAGAGTTCCATTTGTTTCGGTGCGGCATGGCCCTCCAGAGCTTCACCCACATCACGGCGCCTCCCGTGCTTCCGGATGGTCGCTTTCTCCTCTCCGCCCCTCCTCCATTCGTGTCTTGTGCACTCTTCTGGGCCGAGGCGGACTACCCGACGAGTTTACCATCATGTAAGTCTTTCGCCACCAAGGAAGCATCCCCTGCAGCCAGGAGCTTCTTCAGCACCTCTACCAAGTGGACTCAGCACCAGCCAAGTCTCAAGGAGCCCTTCTGAAAGCCATCTCAGCGCCTCCACCGCTTTGTCCATGGCTGCTTGTTGCTCACAACGAAGAGACAGACCGATGGCCAACCACCTCTCTGAGACAAACCCTTGCATGCACTGCAATGGTCCCATCACTCCTGGGCCATTTGCCATCTTCTGTCTGCGCACATGCAGAGAGTGAAGACTCTATAATGGCATCACTATTGCAAGGCCACGGGGGTAGCCGATGAAAATACCATCCACCTTGGCAGCCTCTGTGTGCGAATTCCCTCCCCGTGCTGGAGCCGCTGCCTGCGTAGATGCGCCGATCCCACGACCTCTGCCACGGCAGCTGGCAGAACTGGAGAGCTTAAGCGAGCCTCTGGAGCCTCTCTCACTTAAGCTGACCAGTCAAAAAACACACTCGCAGCTCACGCGTCCAACGCCTGGAATCGTGCAGGATCCGAGCGCCTCCGACACCGAGGCCCGAAAGGCCGAAAGATGCCAAAGACTGCACAGATCTCCCTGGCCTCGCCGGAGATTGCACTTCTTCCCAACCTCAGCGGCTTGGCCCATCTCCCGGCGACCGCGCTAGCATGAAAGATAGCATGAAGCTGTCGGGGAGGCTCTTCCAAGGAATCCAGCAGCACAGTACCACTGCCGGAGACTGAACTAAACTTTACCAAGAAGCACTGCAGCCTGAAAGCCCGGCATGCCCTACTGCTCATGACTGCTGATGACTACTCCGCGCCAGCACGACGATCCTGTCGAAATTTTTACTACTGCACCACCTCAAGCCAAGAAAAACTTAGAGGCACATGGCTGGAAAGAAACTCATCATCAGCACCCACCTTTCACGAGCCACAGCGACACACCAGTCCGAAAGCCGCTGGGGCAGACAGGGAGCTTCGGGCTCCAAACAGCCGCCGAGCTTCTGGTGCCTTTTGCACAGGAAGACACAGCGAAGGCAGGGAGGGAATCTGCCAGAAATGCACCTGGTGCATCACCAGGAAACTGCTCCACCAGGTTAGATGCATCTGGCGGGATGCACGGAATTTGTGGGGCTTCTCGATTCACCCCATACGCACAAGAGACTAACCGACAGTCAACCAACATGACAGAACGCATGTCTCTACCGAGGAAGCATGTGAACTGCACTCCCGTCTCGGACGTCAAGATGCAATTGAAGAAGGCTCTAGACACAAGTGTTGGTGGTAGTCTTGCACACTGAAGCCTGCCAACCAAAGCCAGAACTCAAACTCATTCCACCACATCCGGACCTGACTCCCAAAAGCAGAACCTGTGCACCACGTTGCACCCGTCAGGTGCAGTGAAGGATCGTAGAAGCACAAGTCTGGACTTGCCTTGGAGCCCGTTTCGCGGGCCAGCTTCCGGTCCTCGTAACACTGAAGAGTGTCCCAACACCATACGTGGCTGCAGTTCATAAGATTGTACTGTGATGCGCCTTCTCCCGGAAACTGCAGTAGACCTCAACAGAAGCTTCATGGAACTCAGAATCAGAAGTATCACTGGTTTATGCAACAGTTCCGGGCTTCCTGCGCTCGGTGGCTCTAGGGAGAGGAACAACATGGAGTCGATGGCCTCAGCATTGCCGCACACTGCTCGCACCCAATCCCGCCCACAGGCCCAACCCACGAACATGTCAACGCCCGCGGCAAAGCTAGCCATGGTTGACCCAAACATTGTAGCAACACTATGGGTTCGAATGCTAGGGGAAAATCGGTCTGCACGTGCTGGAGGCGCCCACCCGACGCGATTCCGCGGCTCCCGCCATGACGTGTTGCTTTCCGACGAAATTCGCTGCCTGCCCGCCTGCTTGCCTGCCTGGATGAATGGATACGTCTATGTAGGTATGTAGGTATGTAGGTATGTAGGTATGTAGGTATGTAGGTATGTAGGTATGTCTGTATGTCTGTATGTCTGTATGTCTGTATGCCTGTATGCCTGTATGCCTGTATGCCTGTATGCCTGTATGTCTGTATGTCTGTATGCCTGTATGCCTGTATGTGAAAATAACACGTCTTATCCTTCCCCTCGACTTTGCCAC